ACACGCGTAGGTATCGCCGGGCTTGGGACTTCCAGCGGTCGTAGTCATCTGCGATGTGGAATTTCAGGGACGTCGAGGTTTGCTGCGCAACCATGTTTCCGGCTGCTAAGCGTAATGCCGATAATGCCTCGACCATCCGACCGTCTATATTTGGTGACAGTGTTGGGATGGTAAGCTTATGCCGAAAACGGGTGAATCGTCTGCATCAAGAGAAGAGAAGAAGATCGATACAAACTCGGTGCTCCTCCAGGAATTATCGGCATTACGCTTGGCAGCCGGAAACATGACTACGCAGCAAATCCCGACATCCCTGAAATTCCACATCGCAGATGACTACGACCGCTGGAAGTCCCAAGCCCGGCGATACCTACGCGTGTGGGAGCTTGCTAAACAACAGTACTTATTGCTGTCCCTGGTGGACAAAACAGTGTATGACCAGATCCACCAGGAAGTTCCCGAAGACGTCACAGACAAAACACTTGACATGACACGGTTCATCGTTGTCCCGCCTGATGCACAGTCGAAGTTCACTGGGCCTATCTAAGACTCGCGGCTGTAAACAAGATGTGGTTTTCTAGCTCAGGTTAGGTGGGCAAGCACCAGGTCTCTTGTTGCGGCTGAACTATCCGACCGATCGATAAATGAACCCGACCGGTCGTGTGATCTTAGGGCCGGCATAGGCGGCGGATAAGCACTGAAATCGATGCTGCTTAAGTGTTGATGGTGAATCACCACAGGAGAATCAGTTGCGGAACGATGTGTCATGTGGGAGATTCGAAATGAGAAAGTTCAAGCGATGATGACCCTGGGCCAACGTTTGACTCGTTTAAGGTATACGCACTATTTTTTTAAGCGGGTTCTCGCGTAAATTTTCCGGCTGGCGTGAGACGGGAGTTTACTTGGAAGAAATTCACTCCTGTTCAGCTAATCGAAAGCCAAAGGCGCCAGCCTACAGGAATTAAGGCAATTAACGGTTCACAAACTAAAAGTGCATCTCACAAACTGTCCTTAGACCCGGGATACGATGACTTTCGGCAAGTGACCTGTCTAATTTCATCGGTGCTCTAGGACCGTTCATTCATTCACAAGCGCGTCCGCGCGACGGTGGTTGTCGATCGCTCGGATCTGACATCTCACTCCACTCATTCGAGATTGCATGACCATGAGAATGTCCACCCCGGCTTACACGATAAGTTGCTCATCTTCTATCAAAGATAAAACATATTCCAGTAAATGTTTCNTGTAACATTAAAGAGCAGTTCGGAGTCAGCCGCACTAATCGGACATTGGAGAATAATGCAGATTTGTTATAGCAACGGGCGTTATACATAAATAGCAAAATAGAGCGCTTTGAGAAACCATTTTGCGGTCGGCATTGGACAGCCAACTGTGAAATAACACAGAAGTCATCTATGCGTTCTTTGAAGAGTTAAAACTGCATGTGAGGCTTTTTCTACCTGTACCTCGGAGGCATGGTGGAGTTTGAATCTTTCCAATCATCAACGGTGATGACTTTTCTCCAATCATGCTCCCACAAAACAGTAACGTGACCGTCTCTTTGGACTTCTTGAATACAGAAATTGTCTTTCGTTTGAGACCTAGTGTTCTTTCTGGGAGCTGCTTGTAACGGAAAACTATTTCATCTGCATCGAAAATATCACAGTCAGCATATCCACGTATCAACTGCTGTAACCCCGCTCGAAACTCGTCCACTGCATCACATGGTCCCCCTAAACTTTCATCACAAACCTATAAAGTAATGCACATGAGCTACTTTGTACGATTGAATACCATATCTGTCTGACCAAGAGCGAAACCAAACTTTGAAAGCCTTGAAGTTATTATGATGTAATCTTTGTGCTATCTGGATTGCCTTCTTACGTACGGTGCTCTCTACCATTGGGAACTCTCCGGGCTTTTCTCCCATAGCGGTAAACGAAGCCAAGGTTGCCTCCTTCACTGTCTTGGACTTTTCGTTGATTTTCAGGTGGCATGTTTCCTCAGATGCTTCAGCGTTCACAAATTTTCCGATAGTCGTTCGGTGGGATATAACATTGTAGACAGTTTTTCGTGAAATTCCAAGTGATTTGGCTACGAGCTCTGAGTTGCACCTGGCTGTTTCAGCATTTTCAACACATTCTGCTTCTCTCTGATCGATAGGCGCTTGCACATTTTGACGTCGAATGACACTGTCTCCGGTCCCTTGCANGAAACCAAACTTTGAAAGCCTTGAAGTTATTATGATGTAATCTTTGTGCTATCTGGATTGCCTTCTTACGTACGGTGCTCTCTACCATTGGGAACTCTCCGGGCTTTTCTCCCATAGCGGTAAACGAAGCCAAGGTTGCCTCCTTCACTGTCTTGGACTTTTCGTTGATTTTCAGGTGGCATGTTTCCTCAGATGCTTCAGCGTTCACAAATTTTCCGATAGTCGTTCGATGGGATGTAACATTGTAGACAGTTTTTCGTGAAACTCCAAGTGATTTGGCTACGAGCTCTGAGTTGCACCTGGCTGTTTCAGCATTTTCAACACATTCTGCTTCTCTCTGATCGATAGGCGCTTGCACATTTTGACGTCGAATGACACTGTCTCCGGTCCCTTGCATCAACTTGACTTCCTCGCAAGGGTTATCGAATCGGTGTATAGTGCCATGACCGAGTCACACTAGTTGGAACGTCATTGGTTGAATGCGACATTTCGGGGTGGATGGTCAATGGTCGTCGTGAACATCGGTCAACGACCAAGTGAGTAGGTATCAGGAAGTGCGACATAATGAGGGGGGGGGGCGACATCGCATTAGTCTGAAACTACCGTATTAAGTATACGGTTGGTTTGGTTTTTCGAAAATGTGGGAATGTATTGGAGAATGCGACTTCTCAGGGGGTTGTCATTCGCCTTGATCTCCCTTTTCGGGTGTCTCCCACAAGGCATTGAATGCAGTTCTATCATGCATGTGACACACGGAACCAAGAATTGTGCTAGAGGATTAGATCGAATCAGATATGAATGAATTCACTCAAATTAGTACTTCGGATCTGGTGATAGCAGTTGTTAGCACCACAGTTCGAAGATTATCTACTTGAATCGCCCAATCCACCCACTTGTCTACTTGACAGCTTCTGAATGACTACACATTATTTGATCTTCAAAACTAATCACACATCATGGCAAGATCTATTTCCGCTATTTTATCCTATGCTGATGTACCAGATTAATTAATTAATTAATTAATTATTTAATGGCTCTAACTTTTGAATTCTCTTTCAGTAATATGGATAGATTGAAGAAAAAATCCGGATAACAAGTGGTATGCGTATTATCTTACCAAATGCAACCCAGCCCATACTGACTTAGCAAAATTTATTTGATCCTCATATGGTTCGCTTCGATGGGCCTACCTTCACGAGAGGTCCACTCCCAATCCACGTGAAACATTCATATACTGTAATGTATTTTGATTGTAAAATGATGGTGGAGAAATTAATTCGGAGAGTCCTTATCTGACCTTATTTTAAAGGGCAGTGGATATAGTCTTTGAGAGGATAAATTACAGTTGGTGCTTTGTGCATTGTAAACCACACTCACGCACACGCAAAGGCACAGGCACAAGCACAGGCACACACACACACGGTTAACCTCAAGAAATACCACCACATATATATCACACCACTCTACCTTCTCACATGTTCATTTCGTGGGAGGGTCCAACGAATGGCGGTCGGTCATTTGAAACAAATATTTCAAAGATAGATTATACTCTCTGACTCATGTGTCGGTTTTGCCCAGACATGATTGATGGCAAAAGCCCATCGATGGCATTCAAAATTTCAAATTTCATGAGTCAAATCAGTCGGATCTATAGTCCAGCCATCGACACCGTATGCTAAACATAGGCGTAACCCAGGTTATCACAGAGAGAGGGAGCGATAAACCTAGTCAGTTTGTCACGAGAAGAAACAGGACGAATGGAACTGAGAGGCTGAAGGGGGGGGGGAGGACAGTGCAAACCACTTTCATTCATTCATACGCGTGTCAAACACTCACGATCTTGAATGAGTGATCCCGTCAGCTGCCTGCTTTTCTCGAGTGTCCAATCCGCGGTTCAACCACCATGATCAAACATCATCGCACCTGGTTGTCCGTTTGACGTGATTGGACGATTGAATCCGACAGCCCCTTCCTTTTTTATTTCAACGTATAATCAATTACATAGAACAGGCAAATGTGACACAACATGTGATGAAAAA